GGGGGGCCTGCACCTGAGACGGGTCTCTCTGTAGGCAAGGGGGCGTGGTTAGCTGGTGCCTGCTTACATCACAGGGCACCACAACTTCCAATAGGAAAATTCAACTTCAGTAGCCACCGTTCAACCTGAAGAGGGCAGCACTCAGGCGTTTTTTACACCATATCTTGTAGAAATAAAACACTTTATACCCAAATGTCAAAAAAAATTACTTGAAATCAATGAACAGCATTAAAGGTATAGCGGAGAATTTTCTTTTTCCGGGTGGGTAGCCTATACTATTGGTCCACCTAAGTGTCAATCATTCTGGTGATATGTTTACGTAAGGCCGTCGTACGTGCTCGTCCCCATGTAGTTTTCGCTTTCTGCTCATGCGCACTTTCAGGTGTATTATGTGTGATGAGTTACGGTTTCAGCCATTCCTTTGAAAATGGCTGAGGGTCGAAAGAGAAAAAATGTATACGAAGTGTAGGATAAGAAGAGAAAGGCCGCAGAATATAGTAACTAGACCAGAGTGATTTTGGGAGAATATTTCACACGCTGGCGTGCGCTAAAAGCACAGGTTGGGCTTCCCACTGATGCCGCAGTCGCGAAGATTCTCCTAGACAGGTAAAGTTTGTCATGCTATTTGGAGAAATCCATTTAAAATCACTGCTAGTAAAAGTTTAATAGGCGTTCCCTCTCGGGAGCAAATAGACGGCGGGTCTTCTCTTAAATTCGGAAAGATCCTCCGCTATACCTTTAATAAAGCCCCAGTCTTACAGATCATTAACTAAAAAAAAGTTGTTTTAGCGTTTAGTTACCCTTTAATTAACCATAAACACATATATATATATATATATATATATATATATATATATATATATATATATATATGAACATCCAAAATAATTTTAATTTAGAAATTAAAAACATTGTAGAGGTGCAGTATTGTATGTATGAAATGCATATTTGAATACTTTAGCCAAAAAATTAATTGGTAATTATAAGTTGAAAAGTTTGGATGCATTTATTCAAATTGGTCATTTTTTTACTATTTTTAAAATATCACATTTTTCATTGCCCATATGGTTTAGGACGGTTACATCAAATGAAGAGAGGGGTTATTTCAGATGCAGAGACATCATTCTGATTAAAGTTATTATTTATTTTTTTATAGCATGCAATGATTATTTGCAATGACAACAAGGACAATTTTTTGACACAAAAAATTGGTCAGTTTTGATTTCATGTCTTGAATTTCATAAATATGCCTACATGACAAATAATAATTTCCTTATATTCATCATCATCATGAGAAAGATTCCCCCTTTGTCCTACTAATGGCGTATCCCTCTGTGATCTCTGACCAAGTTTCTTTCTCAGTGTCTGTCGTCGGCTAACACACACACACACACCCATGAACACACAAACCAATTACAGCCCAGTAGTTCCTTCCAGGTGAAGTCCAGGGCCTCTGGTTTGTCAGGCATCAGAAGCGTCTCTGTGACTATGTGCTCTCCAGACACGTACCAGTATACGGCTCTCAACCGCGTAGAGAGAGCGAGTGAAATCTGGCAGCCACTAAGGAAACAATGACAATAGCTTCCGCAAGTCCCACAGAATAGATGCAGAGAGCAATCTGGCACAGTGACAGATCACTTTCACTCGCAAGTTTCCCAAAAAGACAAAGTTTGGACACTTTTGTCCCAAGTACCAGTTTGTGAATAGATAGAGATAGAGCTAGAATACCTACAATGAAGAACGGGAAGCAAAGGACTGTTTTGTTCAGTGAACTAGCTGGCTTGGCAAGCTTGCGTTTGAATGAACTGTTGATTTAAAGCCGGACCGAGGCTAGTCCGAAGATTAGCGCTGCACTCACACACAAAAACACCCTGGCATTTCCACTCAACATCATGAGACGACAATGTCACCTCTGATCAAATATGCAAAACAAAGGAGAAACAAAGATCACCTTTTGTTCCTCAAAAAAACTCTATGAAATAAAGAATCTGACCAGACAACGTCATGCTGACTTGCATGGATAACCCAAAAATACCAATTCCCCCAAAATAAAAATTATGTCATCACTGACTCAAGTTGTTCCAAACCTGTATGGGTTTCTATATTCTGCTGTAACCAAACAGTTCCTGGTCCCCATTGACTACCATAGTGTTTTTTATTCATACTATGGTAGTCAACATCTCTTTGATTACCAGTATTCTTCAAAATATCTTCTTTTGTGTTCAGCCGAAGAAAGAAACTCATACACATTTAGAACAATTTGAGGGTGAGTAAATGACGACAGCATTTTTATTTTTGGGTGAACTCTCCCTTTAAGTTCAAACTCATCAATTTCCTCTATTCAAGGACGCCGTGGCCTAGTGGTCAAAGTAGGGGTGGGAGATATTGACAAAAATGAATATCTCGATATTTTTTTTCAATATCTCGATATCGATATTCAGACGATATTTTTGCAATCCTTCAAAGAAATGTGTGCAAACTGGCAAAGAAGGTCCAGTTGGTCTTTTGACTTGCTGCATTTGACCTATTATTGTATAGAATTACTAGTACATAAAGATATGAGACAAGAGACATTATTGATTTAAACATGAACCAAGTTACTGTACTAAATATTTATTGTAATACAGTAGGGCCTGTTCACATATCGCGTCTTTTGCGCGCTCAAGTTCGTTATTTCAAATGTAGGCGCGCGGTTCGCGCGCTCATAATGGAAGCGACGCGGTCTTAATTTGTAATACAACTACGAAGTTCTTACCTGTGTGTTATGACGACGCGCTCGTTTTTTCCAAGCGCGTCCGCGCCGCTTCAAGATGAAAACATCTCAATTTTTCAGAATGCCGCAAGCGTTTTCCTTGCTGTAACGGAGAGCGCAGCTGATGGTTGCGCTTAGCAACGACAGACGCTTCCGGAGCGCAACCGCCCTAGCGCTTTGGAAAAAGGAGAACGCGGCGCGCCTAGCGTTTTCTTTCTACGCGTTTTTAGGCGCTATATGTGAATGGCGCCTAACATAAGCACGGCACGGTGTAATGACGTAAGACGTCAGGGGCACTGAGGCATTATGGGCAGTTCCCCGTATTAATACAAATGTTTTAGTTTGTACAAAAAAAGAAAATGTTTTCTTGAAGTTAAAAGAAGCCCTGTTCGGAGGCTATTCCGGTGGATCTCTAGGACGCCACAGACAGTTAAGAAAAACTTTTTAACTTCAGACATTAATTTTTAACTTCAGTTTTCTGCAAACAACGCATATTTTGCCTTTTCTAGCAGCTATTTTATAAATCGTACATCGGACATACTCTTTACGTTTTTGGATTGTTGCTTCAACCTAAGAAACGTCATAACACACAGGTAAGAACTTCGTAGTTGTATTGCAAATTAGAAGCAGCTTACTCTCGTGCAATTAAGTAACGATCGTGATTTTGTACAAAAAAACCCCCCCATGAAATACAGTCAAACAAACCCCTACAGTATTAAAATCGCTACATATAATTGTTTAGAAGGTTATAGTGTGCGTTATTTGTTTTCTCTTTAACTTCCTTCAGCTCTTTTCATGTTTGGGGGGGTCGGATTGCACAAATTATGAAATATTCGATATCCCAATTTTGCATATCGTCCAGACAACAATTTGGATATTATCGTCTAAACGATATATCGCCCACCTCTAGGTCAAAGATCTCGGCTGCGAACCAAAAGGTTGTAAGTTTATGCCACAGCAAAGGAACATAAACTACCACCATTATGGTCTTACACCCAGATTACTCAAGGGTAAGTGTGCAGGACATAAGCTTTTGTGAAGTACACTTTAGCATACTACTAGAACTTACTAGTAATGTTGAATGTAATGTTTTCAGACACCTAATTGCATGCTACATGCAATTAAATGAAAAGGCATTATAGTTTGAATTATTAAACACTTATTTTGACCCACTTAAGTAGATCTGTAAATGTAATTTCATAATTTCTCCTATTGTTCATTTATAGTTAAATTGCGCAGCCGAATGTACCGACAAGCATTTATAATAAACTAAAATGTACTTATTTGTATATGCGCATTTGAAGAAACAAAATGACACATTTGCAATTTAGTACATTTAAAATACATTAACTGTACGTGTAATATCGAATGACACACTACAGTTAAAATTGCGAGCACTTATTTAAAGCACAATAAAAGATGATCAAAACATAATGATTTAAAAATGTAGGTCATGAAAGTGTACTCTCTTTAATTAGCCTTTTATTTCAGTGAGATTATATACACTTTAAAGAATAAAAGAATTTTACATTGCTTTAACTCACCAAAATAAGCAATTTTCAACTTTTTAAGTTATACAAGATTCTACTATGTTTGTAAGTTTAATGTAATTTAAGTTTTAAGTTAATAAAAAAATTAAGGCAGCAACTTATTACAGTGTAGTTTTTTGCCCCCTGAAAAACGTACTTTTAAGATTTGAAGTAAACCACAAGTGCACAGTCAATACAATCAATCAAGCACACTTGTTTTCACACGGAATGTCTACTAGGTTGATAAAGATGACTTATGCATGAATGAATGCATTAAAAGCATGACTTGCAGGAATTATAGTGAGAGTTAGAACACTATAGTAGCACATAGTATAGTTGTATTCAGTAAGCTCTAAACATGTGAACTGAAAGAGACCGAGTTTAGAGAGAAACATCAGTGAAGGTCATTTGAGAAGCTGTCAGTGAAGCCTCGACAGCACACACACACAACTGAAGCTAGAGGATAACCTTTTACTGCTGTACTGTAGTAAAGTGCTCATTCTCACAGCAGACAGCATGGCCGACTGTGCTGGTTTAACTTGGTTTGTTGTTTTGGGACAATTTGAGAAGGTTTGAGTCATCAAGAGATTTGCCATCTAACTTTTGAAAAGTACTACGCTTGAATTGTACGTCGGGTGAGCCGGACAGGGTTTCTAACCGCACATCTGACACGCGCGTTAGTGAATGTGTTTATGTTGTGTAGAGTTAAGTTGAGTTACCTTGACCGAGTCCACGGGGTACATGACTGTGTGCTCCAGCACTCCGGCCACGGCGCCCGCTGTCATGTGCGTGCCCAGCGACGCGTGAGCGGGCAAACTCTCGTAATCCGCGTCGCCCTCCAACGAGTCGCCGTCGCTGTTCACCTCCGACATCTCCACACTCGCCAAGACCGCGTCGCTGCGCAACTCCATGCGGTGGAAGCGTTAAACCCACGCTTGATACGCGGAGATGTGAAGCGGCGACACGAGCGCGCACATCACTATCACCACCACTGCCGACAACGTCATCTCAGCGACGCCGTGATGTCATCGTGACGCAGCGGTCGCGCGCCAGACTGTGAGAGCGGTAACGGGTGAAGGTGGGGCTCAAAGCTGATGTTACCAATAAAAAGTACATTGATCTGGGAAAGTTTGTTTGTTGTTTTTGAGTGATTCTTCTTTTCAGGAGTGTTTTCTATCTTGTTTGGAATTGGTCTGTGATTAGGTTGTATGAATTAAAGGGATAATTCACCCAAAAATGAAAATTCTGCCATCATTTACTCACCCTCAAGTTGTTCTAAATGTATGAGTTTCTATGTTGTCTTGAAAACAAAAGAAGATATTTTGAAGAATGTTGGTAATCATAGATATTCTGGTCCCCATTGACTTCCATAGTAGGAAAACAAATACTGTGGAAGTCAATGGGGACCAGGTTACTGAGATTCTTCAAAGTATCTTCTTTTGTGTTAAACAGAAGAAAGGAACTCGTACGGGTTTGGAACAACTTGAAGGTGAGTAAATTATGACAGAATTTTCTTTTTTGGGTGAACTTAATGTAGCCTATTCTAATCAATTTTCTTCTTATTAAATGATCCTTCCTCTTTTGGCAAGTCTGAATGAATTTTAGACACACGGTTCATTCAGACGGTTCGTTTCAGTGTGTGTGTGTGTGTGTGTGATATTATATAAACACAAACTTTTATGTAGGCCTATCTATGCTATTCATCGATTTGACAGCTATTTAGTTACGGTGGTGATTCCAACATCCCTTCCTAATATAGTTTGAGTCCTAAAAACCCTTCATTAAAAGCCATTTGTAAATCATCTTGAGAGAACCATTCAAGAGAGAGAGAGAGAGAGAGAGAGAGAGAGAGGAGAGAGAGAGAGAGAGAGAGAGAGAGAGAGAGAGAGAGAGAGAGAGAGAGAGAGAGAGAGAGAGAGAGAGAGAGAGAGAGAGAGAGAGAGAGATCTTTCCTTTCCTAAACAAAGCTGAAATTTCTATAATTATTTGCAGCTCGTATGATTGGCATTCCGCACATGATATCTATAGATTGCTCCATCTGTGAGTGTGTGATAGTTTAGGTGTGTCTTTTCTCAGAAAGACCAGTTCACCATGTTCACTTTATCTGCTCACTTGGTGACTAGGCTACGATACAGGGAATCTGGGGTTCACCAGACGTCCTCCTAACTCACACACACAAGAAACATTTATGGCAGTCCCGTTTGTGCTCACTTAAGCATGAGTTCAGGGATGAAATAATCACACTTGTTAAAAAATACACTTCACTTTAAAAAAAGAGAACTTTACATAAATCATATAGCCTACTTTAAAAGAATATAAGTGCAAACTAAATTAAATGTTTTTCGGACACTTAATTGCATGTTATTCACAATTACATGAAAATGTATAGATTAAATATATTAAAATCAATTTGTTGAACCAAGAGTGTTTTTTGACCCACTTCAGATTTACACATACATATTTATATGTAATTTCATATTACAAAATCTCACTATTAACTACGACTTTTGCCTCCATAAACTCCTAATTGCTGTTTATTAAACGTTAGTACATAGGTATTGTGTAGGATTAAGGGATGTAGAATATGATCATGCAGAATAAAGCATTAATATGTGCTTTATAAGTGCTAATAAACAGGCAATATCCTATAGTGATATGCACGCTAATAATACCTATAATTGCTTATTCTATTGTCTCTGAAATATGGCTGAAGTGTACCGCCGAATGTACTGACAAACATTCATGGCAAACTAAAATATACTTTAATGTCATTTCTATTGAAACTTGTATGTCATGTATTGAAATATATTTGTAATTTAGCACATTTAAAATACTTTAATTGTAATATCAAGTAACTCACTAGTTAAAATCATAATCAGTACTTTACATGTGTCAGTAAACGCAGAATAAGTGATACTTTTAAAGCACAAGAGATTATTAAAACATGATTTAAAATATACTTTAAAGTCAAACTTTTAATTTGGACCTTTTATTTAATTGCAATAGTTTTTTTTTTTTTTTTTTTTTATAAAATGACTTTTAAGTTTTGAAGTGCACATACTATTAAGCGCACTTCTTTTTCTCGAGGGTACACAGAATATAAGGGCCTAATGCTTCACTGTCAAATTATCACCAACTTTACAATATTAGTAAAGTAGGATTGTTGGCTTTGAAGAAGTCACATTACTTCTACCGTAGCAATGCTCCTCATCAGTTCCTCTCGCAGCCCATGTGAGCAGATCATATGATCCAGAAAACATGAAGCAAACAAGCAGAGCATTCAAACGCCGGTACATGTGTATCCAAGCAGTTTCACAGACACACACACACACACACACACTCCTCCAACTGAACAAACTATACGTCAGTGTCTCAGGCTTGTGTGCAGTCCAACATTTCTGTTTTTTAATATAGATCCGTTGAATAGTTTATCATGAGGCATGTTGTATCTAAGAAGTTTGAGTTTGACTTGGAGATGTTTAGGGTTCAGCATGTGTTTGCCAAGCTCATGCCTGTAGATCAGAAGATCTCTGAGGAGGAATGAGGGCGGGCCGAGAAACGCCTGCGTCTGAGATGTGCTTTCATATGATTATAATAACGTTCGTTTCAGACACACTCTCTTTGTTCACAATTACTTTTGAAGAGTCATCCATTGAAAACGCTTAACATTAAGGGAGTGCAAAGTTCAGTTGGTTAAACTTTTTAAGCTGGGGGAAAATTATTAAAATGTTATTTAAAAAAAATGACTTGATAATAGAGAACTATAGGGATAATTGAGTTTTAAAGAAGGGTTAATTTCACAACTCTTACATTTACAGAATTGAAACACATTATAGCGCATGTGTTCGAATTGTCTTCCCTTGTGAAAAAGAAGTACACATACTTAACAAGAGTAATTATCACGGAAATAAAGAATATACTTAAGTGTGAACTGCATGTAATGGTTTCAGACAATTAACTGCATGTTAATTGGCCTAATGAAAATATATTTTAGTTAAAATTTAAATTAAATGTAATTAGCTGAAGTTTAGAGTGATTTTTGACACTTAACTATAGTAATTACTACTGAAGCGTATTGCATTCACTTGAAGAAAAAAAATCCACTCTGTTTTTCTGAATTGACGAGTTAATTATCTTAGAATTACGAGATCATTTTTCATGGAAAAAAAGTTTTTGCTCTGTTTTTCTGAATTAACGAGTTAGTTATCTCAGAATTTTGAGATACATTTTTCTTGAAAAACATTTTTTTCACTCTGTTTTTATGAATGAGTTACTTATCATTTTGAGATAAGTCATTAATTCAGAAAAGCAGAGCAAAAACTTTTTTCCATGAAAAATGATCTCGTAATTCTGAGATAATTAACTCGTTAATTAAGAAAAACAGAGTAGATTTTTTTCCTCAAGTGAATGCAATACGCTTCCGTAAATTACATCTTAATTACAATTAATTAAATTTTTAATAATTTCATAATTACACCTATTGTCTTTGCAATATGGTTTTGAAATGTACTGACAGTTTATGGTAAATTAAAATATACTTTAATGTTATTTCTACTCAATCTTGTGTCATGTATTTAAATTAAAATTACAATCAAGTACGTGTGCGTTAGTATGTTAGTCAACATTTCTTTTAAGAACGACGAAGGGATTGTTCAAACATGATTTAAAATGAAGTAAACATTTTAATTTGACAATTATAGTTAACTTTTTAAAGTGTGTTTAGAAACATGAAAGTGAACTCTCTTCAGATACACATAAATAGCCTTTTATTTCATTAATATTATATTATCTATAGTTTTTTTTAAATATGCATTTGAAGCCTACACTACAAGTGCACATTTAATTAAATTAAGTAAATACACTACACTAAGTAAATTAAGGGTTTCTGTGTGAGCATGCAAAGTGAGTCATACATGCGATCAAATGATTCATTAAAATAATTGCTGTATTTAAAATAATAACCAAAGTATAAAGCCCCAAAGCATATTATCCATTCCTTCAACAATGTCGCTGCACACTTCAACTAAACTTGTCAATCTCATCTCACGTGCGTTCTTAAACTGTAGATGGTGCTACTGTTACAGGAGAGAGAGAGAGAGAGAGAGAGAGAGAGGAGAGAGAGAGAGAGAGAGAGAGAGAGAGAGAGGAGAGAGAGAGAGAGAGAGAGAGAGAGAGAGAGAGAGAGAGAGAGAGAGAGAGAGAGAGAGAGCTACCAACTATACGCCTATAAATGTTAGAAGATTCAACATTTTTAATGTTTATTTTCATGTAAAATGTTTTTTTTTTGTATAGAGTTTTGAATGCTATTTGTAATAAGAGTTATTAAAGCTATTTGAATCTTGAATCTTAGAGAGAGAGAGAGAGAGAGAGAGAGAGAGATAGAGATAAAGATAGAGATAGAGAGGGGCACTCACACATATAGTTATGAGACGGTCTTGTTTTTATCAGCAGGGACTAACAAAGCTAATGCTTTCATAAGTGGGGTCGCTTCGGACAGATGAAGACCACATGTTTGCTCATTTAACATGTGCTCAGGTTTGTTTTGTAACATAAGAATGAGAAAACAGGGGTCAGTAACCCTACAGCTCTGAGAGAAGTGAACACGAGAAGGGGTCAACCTCCCCGTCCAGAGGAGGACATCATAAATAAAGTCTCCTGGGTCGAGGGTCTTTCAGTACAAGACTCTGGGGTTTTCACTTTAGCAAGCACCATTAAGAGGAAAAAACACAAAACACCTTTTTAATTATTAATCTCTTTATCTTCGACAACAGCGATATTAAAGAAATTGATGTTTCTTTAACAGCTTGTGTGAATATGGTACTTGTGTTTTCACAGATACCAACAATATACAGCAGTGACTGACCGTACAAAGAGAGGCATCGTCCACGTCAGAGGATTTCTTGCAGAAAAATGGAGAATTTGCACTGAAATGCACGGACCAACACACTCATTCAGGGCACTGACTACCGTTCAAACATTCCCACATGGCTTTAAGATGGAGGTTTCGTCATCGGAATCCTGTCATAATTCATCCTAACTAATGCACTAAAAAAAATGATGGGTTGTTTTAACCCATGGTTGGGTCAAAAATGGACGAACCCAATCATTGGGTTTAAAAATTCAAACCAACGTTTGGGTTTTGTCCATATTTGACCCAACCCAGCACTTAAAGAGTTAAGAGTGTGGTACCTTGAAAAATTCATTCTGTTTTAAAAAAGAAAGTTCCCTCATGAATGAAAATAGTCCTCATGTCGCTCCAAACCTGTCGGACCGTCTTTCTATGGAACACAAAGGGTGAATTTTGAAAGAACAAGTCGCTATTTGCATTAGTGTCTTTAAAGTGGCTCATGCACTAGTATATTCTGAAGTCATATGATAGCTTGTGTGATAAACAGCCCGAAACGACTTCACACAAAACTATTATTTGACTTAAGGGACACTTCATACTTTGAATATAACCCAATGGTCAACTGTGCTACGATGTGCTCCCTTTTAATTCTTAAAGCCAATTCATTATCATTGCATGCAAAAGTGTGATCGATACGTTTCTCAGAAGTGATGTTTCTTGCCACCAGAAGGTGGTCACATGGTTTTGGAGGAAGATGAGAATGAGTAAACGACAGAATTTCTGTTTTTTTTTTAAGTGTAATTATAAGCTGAAAGATATGATCTGAACCGTAAGACAAGAAAACATGAAATTATTGCACCGATTCTCATCATAGAGTGTTTAAATAACATGTACAGCTTCCCCTCCGTGTGAAGTGTGATGGCTTTAAAAAGAAAAAAATATCAAGGTGCGCATACACACACATGCTCACAATCATATACACTCACAGATAAGCAGTAATTCTGACACTGTAACACTGTAATATTTACCACTGAACCTTTAACAAAAATGAAAAACATTTTCTCCGTCTACCTCAACAATCCTTCAGGATGTACACGGCGTGCTTTTTAAAATAGCACAGCTGGATGTTTAATGTTGCTCTTTACATTTCATGGAAAAGTGTTTAGGTAGAAAAAAAGGTGACCGAAACTTAGTGCTTTCTAAATGTGCCTGTTTGTTTTTTACATTCTAAAGGGATTTCAAGACGATTTCGCTTTCTATCATGATATGAAAGCGGTCCAACTTCAGTGTCTAAAATGCGTCCTTTAAAATGAACCTCGATCCGTTTCTCTTTGGCACAACCAAATCATGTTCAATTATGCGCACAGTCTTGAGTTGAGGCGGCAGCCGGCAGAGCCTTGTCTAAACTGTGATGTGTATAAATCCAAACTGGGGACACGTTCAGTATATAAACCACATACTCGACGCCCCTGACCTCTTTCACATTGATAGTGTGACATTGAAAATCCAAAAAGGCAGCATCAGCGTTCCTCACACAATAAATAAACATCTAAACATCACTGCCGACCAGATACGGTCCTGGAGCTGCAGTCTTCACATTACAGTAAACCTTCACTGGTCTTGGCTGAAAGTGTCATGCAGAATCCCTTGCGAATCATTTTGGGAAAATGCAACACTGGCCAATGGGAGGGCAACATGATGATTGTAGGAGAGGGAGAGGTGTGTCTCCTCCTCCTCCTACAGTGATTGGCCAGTGGTTTGACGGACAGGCTCCAGGCCCTATAGGGGCACAGGGAGGTCAGGTGACCCCAGGCCCTCTTCCAGCCACTGGACGTGGAGTGCGGAGCGGCTGTGTATGCGTCTCAGACGGAGCAGGTAAAGGAGGATGGACAAAACCACCACCAGGAAACAGGCCAGGAACAGATAGTGGTTGTTCATGAAGGAGAAGCTGTGATGCCAGCGAGAGTGAGAGCCCTTCAGACTCTCCTGCTGGATGTCCCTGAACAAACCATACACAAGAAAACGTGTCACAGCATTATCAAAACTACATCTATGCATTATTTAATCAGATCTACACAACATGTGTAAATATGGTTAGTAGTAATACAAAAGGTTAACTTCAAATACTCTTTATGGCTCTATAAAATGGGCAATAAAATCACAAGGACAAACGATTTTAAAACAACTGCATGCAATATTATTGAGTGGCAAAAACCTAACATTACATGTCTGTCTCCGAGACGCTCGTATTAGCAAAACGCCGCTTCAGGAAAAAAAGACAGTTGGAAGATGCTAATTACAGGGCAAAGGGGTTATAAACCCATACAAATGTTATGTTTACGAATTCTGTTAGCTATTATTTTAATATATATGCTATCATTTTACTAGCTGATGTTGCAGAAAATACTGTAAAGCAAAAAAAAATAAAAATTGGGAATTTGGATACAATTTAAAATAACTTTTTCTATGTGAATTTTAAAATGTCATTTATTCCGGTGTTGACAAAGGCTGAATTTTCTTGTCACATGATCCTTCAGAAATCATTCTAATATGCTGATTTGCTGCTCAAGACACATTTATGATTATTATCAATGTTGAAAACAGTTGTGCTGCTTAATATTTTTGTGGAAACTGTGATAAAAACATTTTTTGGATTCAGAAAGTCCAAAACGCAACAACATTTAGTTGAAATATGATATAAATATTCTTTACTGTTACTATTAATGCATCCTTGCTGAATAAAAGAAAACAAATATGGCAGTTTTGAACAGTTATTCTGTACACAAAAAAAAAAAAAAAAAAAAATTGGTTTCAAAAGAAAAGACGACTCAAAACAAGTCGCGGCCAAAAGTGATGTGAAGTGCCTAGAAAAACATGTAGCTGTAGTTTGCGTTTTTACTAGAGCTGTCAAACGATTAAAATATTTAATCGCAATTAATCGCACATTTTTATCTATTCTAAATGTCTCTTGATTTCTTTTTAGCCCATTATTTTTTCTCATTTTAATGCTCGTATCAACATGGAAAAGTGGATCGGCTTTTCCATGGATATATATATATATATATTAGGGCTGTCAGTTAAACGCGTTATTAACGGCGTTAACGCAAACCCATTTTAACGGCGTTATTTTTTTTATCGTGCGATTAACGGTCTTTTTGGCCTAGCAAACTTTGTAGTTTTTTTCACAGGCTTTTGCAACAGGACGCGGCATGTGCGGTGAAACCCATTCATGTCAATGGCTTGCGCCGCGCGAGGACGTTTTGTTGCTTCGTCGACCAAAGCGAAAGCGGATCTAGCTAGACCGGAAACAAAACAACAGACACGCCGCACACACTTGTTTGGGCTTGCGAGCCGTTTTGAGTGGATGACGAGCGCGAGACGCCGAAATGGATGCCAATAAGATTCTGAATGGAAAGTTTACTTTTAAAAAGTTGCCAAATGGTTCCATTGACGAGACCAAAGTGATCTGTGTGTTTTGTCGTTGTGAACTGAGCTATCGTCATCGCAGCACGTCCAGTCTGAAACACCACTTGATGATGGCCAAGCACACACACACACACACACACAGCTGATGCGAATTCTCCGCTCCCTCGTCAATATCAGGACCTCGTCAGTATTTCTTTCACCCTTTTATTGATGGACAGTGTTACATTGTGTGAGAGATTATTTGCTCCAAGTGAGAATGTTAGTGTGAAATTGAACACAGTATATGCCAATGTTGTTTTCAATAAAAAACATTTGCACAAAGCAAGCCGATCCACTTTTCCATGTTGATAAGAGCAATAAAATGAGAAAAAAAATAATGGGACAAAAAGAAATCAAGAGACATTTAGAATAGATAAAAATGTGCGATTAATTGTGATTAATCGCTACTTAACTATGACACCAATGCGATTAATCGCGATTAAATATTTTAATCGTTTGACAGCACTAATATACACTCACCTAAAGGATTATTAGGAACACCATACTAATACCATGTTTGACCCCCTTTCGCCTTCAGAACTGTCTTAATTCTACGTGGCATTGATTCAACAAGGTGCTGAAAGCATTCTTTAGAAATGTTGGCCCATATTGATAGGATAGCATCTTGCAGTTGATGGAGATTTGTGGGATGCACATCCAGGGCACGAAGCTCCCATTCCACCACATCCCAAAGATGCTCTATTGGGTTGAGATCTGGTGACTGTGGGGGCCATTTTAGTACAGTGAACTCATTGTCATGTTCAAGAAACCAATTTGAAATGATTCGAGCTTTGTGACATGGTGCATTATCCTGCTGGAAGTAGCCATCAGAGGATGGGTACATGGTGGCCATAAAGGGATGGACATGGTCAGAAACAATGCTCAGGTAGGCCGTGGCATTTAAACGATGCCCAATTGGCACTAAGGGGCCTAAAGTGTGCTAAGAAAACATCCCCCACACCATTACACCACCACCACCAGCCTGCACAGTGGTAACAAGGCGTGACGGATCCATGTTCTCATTCTGTTTACACCAAATTCTGACTCTACCATCTGAATGTCTCAACAGAAATCGAGACTCATCAGACCAGGCAACATTTTTCCAGTCTTCAACTGTCCAATTTTGGTGAGCTCTTACAAATTGTAGCCTCTTTTTCCTATTTGTAGTGGAGATGAGTGGTACCCGGTGGGGTCTTCTGCTGTTGTAGCCCATCCGCCTCAAGGTTGTGCGTGTTGTGGCTTCACAAATGCTTTGCTGCATACCTCGGTTGTAACGAGTGGTTATTTCAGTCAAAGTTGCTCTTCTATCAGCTTGAATCAGTCGGCCCATTCTCCTCTGACCTCTAGCATCAACAAGGCATTTTCGCCCACAGGACTGCCGCATACTGGATGTTTTTCCCTTTTCACACCATTCTTTGTAAACCCTAGAAATGGTTGTGTGTGAAAATCCCAGTAACTGAGCAGATTGTGAAATACTCAGACCGGCCCGTCTGGCACCAACAACCATGCCACGCTCAAAATTGCTTAAATCACCTTTCTTTCCCATTCTGACATTCAGTTTGGAGTTCAGGAGATTGTCTTGACCAGGACCACACCCCTAAATGCATTGAAGCAACTGCCATGTGATTGGTTGATTAGATAATTGCATTAATGAGAAATTGAACAGGTGTTCCTAATAATCCTTTAGGTGAGTGTATATATAAAAGGTGCATCTAAAGTCATCTAGGGACAAATATTGTACCTTAGAGGTAGAAAGCGTGTGCGGTACAAAATGGCTCCTAGTGTCCACTGCACTTCTTTGTCATACACCAGCAGAGCCGTCCTGAGGTTCTCGTACGCCGCTGGAAACGCGAAACCTGAGTGGAGCACCTCGTACATCCACGCAGACTTGAAGCACTGGTACCTGCAGGAACACAGGAGCGGCCAAACTGATCACGGAAATTATGTGCAGATGTTTTCTCAGCAGTTTAAAGGTGAATGAGTAAATACTGGATAAAGGTTTAGTATTTGAAACTTACTTCAATCTATGCTGGTCAGCATGCGAGGCGTAAAGACCTCGATCAAACCGCTCTTTCAAAGTTTTCCACTGGGTGGCACAGTAACTCTGAAATGAAATGGATCAGGTCAATAACTTTAAAAACAAACAGTTTTCGTATATATATGTACTATAATGATTACAGTAATTAGCTTGTAAATGAGCACAGGTGTATGCTTGGAAACACATGACACTGATGAAGGGTTCAACCCGAAAACGTTTTGCGCACCCTGCACTTTATTTGTGGCCTCTGGACAATACATTTTATGTGAGCTTTTTGGCCTATTTCTCATGTGCGGATCTCCTTTTGTAATTTTTTTTTAATTTTTGAGCTATTTTTGGATCTACACACCGCAAGGAATTCTATTCATTCATCTGTTTTTGGACTAGTGTATGGCGCTACGCTTTCCTGTTCTGTCCAAAATCATTTTATATATCAAAGCTTTATTTTTAAAACATCAAAAAAATTACTTCTGCATTTGTAACGGCAGGTTAAATGCATTCATGTCGGAGTCTGTAAATGGATCTAAATGCCAGTTCAGATGCAGCTTCTGTTTCCTCTGTATTGCAAAGACGGATTTAGTTGATACTGATTTCATTTGATTGGTAACAGCCCTATAGTGTCTTATTATTCAAACTGAAATTGATTAAATGTAATTTGACAATTAAATGTTACCTATGTATCATTTATTAAGAAACCGATTGCCTTTATAAAGGTAAAAATGCAGATAAAAGGTAAAAGTCACGGTTTTCCTAAACCTGCCAAGGTACCGTCAAAATAACACACACGGCAAAATATAGTCTAATCATCGTTATCGACAAAATCCCAGAAAATATTGAGATATTATTTTTTTTGTCAATCTCGCACACCTCTACTTTCTTCTAAATTTCTGTCATGCAACACAAAAAGAGAAATTTTAAAGCATGTTCACACTTTCATTCAACAGAAGCAGACTGCCCTTTTTGGAGCTTGACAGACACATTTTGCTTAAAAGGTTTAGTTTATAGTACAGGGATGTTGAACAGAAAAGAAGATATTTTGAAGAATGTGGGTAACTAAACATTTGATGACTTCCATAGTATGAAAAAAAATAAAAAATACTATGGAAGTCAATGGGGACCAGAAACTGAAACTCCTCTTGTGTTTATCAGAACAAAGAAACTCATACACTCATGTTGTTCTAAACCTGTAATTAAAAAACTATCCCTTTAATTCTATGGAAAAAGAACATGGTGAACATCAGGGCGTCAGTGTACCTTAGCAGCATTGGAATATTTGGTGGAGTTGTAGTCTCCTCCCATGCGCAGCACATCTTCAGTACAGTAGTAAAACTCAGAGAAGCCGTAGAACTGGCTGTTGGGGAAGTCGATGGGCGGCTGGTAGACTCCGTTAAGCGATGTGTTGGTGTCATTGGTGCGGTTGAGGAAGGGCTGGAGCAGCAGACGGCAGCGCTCGAAGTCTCCTGTGCCACGCAGGTGCACCCTCTGGTCCTGGGGACCCAGCTCATCCTGCAGGTCAGCTGGCAGGCAGGGGTCGAGGATGGGCGAGTCTGAACCCTCTCCCTGATGCTGACCCAGGAGCCTGGAGACCGTGGAGAGCAATGGAACAATTCTAAGAAACGTTGGCTGACCGATCAAATGTTCACAATATATATGCGCAAAATTACCCATCATCATGAATACTGTTAAGATTCCTATGACTAGTTAGACTTACTGTAATGGAAGATGTTTTAACCTGTTATGTAAATGGTTATTTAAACTTCAAGATTGTAAGTTTGATGCATTACTGTGAATCAGTTCAAGTTCAGTTAGTTTCAATGAATTGATTCTTAATATTTACAGATACTGGCAGAGTTTATTTTTAATAAATTAAAAATTTTAAGAAAAAAAACAAAAAAACAAGTAGATAATATTTCAGTTTATTGATGTATGTCATTTAGTACATTTAAAACTATGAAATGCTGTTCCTTGTGATCATTTGGTGGAAGAGTGTGAAAATTAACGTGTATTAATTTTAAGTTATAATTTTGACTACACTACCATTCAAAAGTTTGGGGCTGGTAAGATTTTTTTTAATGTTTTTAAAAGAAGTCTCTTTCTGCTCACCAAGGATGGATTTATTTGATCCAAAAATAGTAATATTGTGAAATAGTATTACAATAATAAAAAAATAAAAAATTATATGTGAATATATTGTTAAATTTAATTTATTCCTGTGATTAAAGCTGAATTTTCAGCATCATTACTCCATTCTTCAGTGTCACATGATCCTTCAGAAATCACTCTAATATGATGATTTGATGCTCAATAAACATTTCTGATTATTATCAATGTTGAATTTCTTTTGTGGAATATGTGGTTCTTTGATGAATAGAAAGTTCAAAAGAACAGCATTTATTTAAAATCGAAATCTTTTGTAACTTTCTAAACGTCTTTAATGACACTTTTGCATCATTGCTGAATAAAAGTATTCATTTCTTAAAAATAAATAAATAAATAAATGACTGACCCCCAAACTTTTGAACAGTAGTGTTATCATCTAGCTTGAATAATAATAATTAAAAAAAATGATCATACTTGTTTTGGATTTGTGTGTTGCTGATGAGGTTTTCCTCATATCTCTGGCGGGCCGCGTTTCCTCCGAAACCCAAAAAAGTTGAGACGTAAACACGGTACACGTGTTCGGTTCTGTGAGCGTCGCAGCCCAGGTTAAACTCCGCCAGCAAATTCTTGGCTATCTCTTCCTGGTAGCACAGAGAGAAATATAAGACAGCTGTGGAAAACACATGTTAACAGAGGTTCCTTCTGGGCAACACAGTCTTCTAAAAATACAGATCTACAGATCCGAGAGGCTGAATTGCACATTTCTTTAAACACAAAGGCAGCAAAGCAAGTGAAGCGAGAAGCAGCATCATATTTGCATGATGACATTTAAAAGAATGTTCGGGGTTCAGAACAAGTGGAGCTCGATCAAAAGCATCTGTGGCATGTGAATTACCACAGAAAATAATGAACTCATCCTTCAGTAATTCGGAAAATTTACATGAATGCACTTACAATGGAAGTCTATGGGCCTCCAGTGGAGGGAATTTTCTGACTGGCAATAGCTTTGCATAGACCAAGTTATTATATAATCTTATAAAACTAGTGTCATGTTAACACAGTTTTAGTCCTGTGTCTTCGCTTCAAAAGTTTGGGGTCAGTAATTTGTTCTTTGCAGGAAATCAATACTTTGTCCTTACCCAGCATGTTAAATCGATCAAAAGTGACCATTTTTATAGACTTACAAACAAATTCTAATTTTATTTTTACTCTTTATTAAAAGAACCCTGAAAATAAAATGTATTACGATTTCCAAAAAAATAAGCATCACAACAGTTTTCAACATTGATAATAATCATAAATGTTTTTTTCTTCATCATATTAGATTTCTGAAGGATCATGTGACGCTGAGGACTGGAGTAATGATGCTGGAAATTCAGCTTTGATCACAGGAATAAATTATATTTTAAATATATTCATAATATAGTAATAATATTTCACAATATTACGGTTTTTACTGTATATTTGATCAAACAAATGTAGCCTTGGTGAGCAGAAGAGACTGCTTTCAAAAACATTCTTTTTTTTATTTCTTTTTTTTATTAAACTGTTTATTTTCACATATCTTTTTCCCTCTTACCAAAAAAAAAACTGAAAAAAAGAAAAGATAAATAAATAATAATAATAAAAGATAAATAAATAATAATAAAAAAATAAAAAAATAATAATAACAATAACAAATAAATAATTATTACATGTCTGCTATGTCTACATTTAGTTAGTTAGCAGTGTCAATTTCATACTTCATGTATACACAGGTATCACACATATATACATTCTTTTTATACAGACCGCAGACCATATTTAAATATTTTTTTGGGGGATCCAATACAAAGACATTCTTAAAAAAAATCTTACAGACCGCAAACTTTAAATAGTAGTGTCTTGACCCATATACTTTCATTATAAGGGCATTACTGTAAACATTTTTTGTTGTTGTATGTACAAAATGAGAGATTATGATCATATTGAGTGGTAATCGACAGCACAGCTTCAAAAGTGCTGATCTGAGAACATTCCTTTAATAGTTCATAAGCTCTAATTCAGCTGCAGAAAAATACTGAAGAACACAAGGAAAACATTTGAACACTTCATCCCGATTCCAGCAGCAGGCATCCTGTTATATCCGATTACATGCCATTGGGATTTGTGCTGAGAATAGGTCAAATATAGGTCAAAAACACCCAAATGGCACACGCACACACACAATAGAAGTCTAATATTAGACTATCAAACTCTCCCCTAATTACTGGGATTCGATTAAATGATCCCATATTGTTTAAAAGGGTCACATCATGAATAAAAGTAAAAACATGGTTATCTAATTTACATATAAAAGCCTAAAGAGGTACAGCAGGAAAAACACCCAGATTAATTATGAGAGTCGGAGAGAGGTAAGAAATGGCCATCTGAAATAAAACAATCCGATGAAGAGAAAATGTAAATATTTAAAAAAAAAATGATATGATTTGTTTTGCACAAACCTAACCTCATTGGGCCACAAGCAGCAGATTGTACGAATTACTCTGAATGGGACCGCACGAATTAGTCCGAATGGGATCCTACGAATTCATATGAATTAGAGACCAATTCACCTTTTTTTTTTTAAATAAAAAAAAAACTAAGCATGAAGGTCCATCCCGTAACCTAATCCTCAGTATGACGTAAGCAGATCAAACTCCAAATACTATTGTGCAAAATACACCGAACGGGATCCTACGAATGACTCCGAACGGGATCCTACGAATGACTCCGAACGGGATCCTACGAATGACTCCGAACGGGATCCTACGAATGACTCCGAACGGGATCCTACGAATGACTCCGAACGGGATCCTACGAATGACTCCGAACGGGATCCTACGAATGACTCCGAACGGGATCCTACGAATGACTCCGAACGGGATCCTACGAATGACTCCGAACGGGATCCTACGAATGACTCCGAACGGGATCCTACGAATGACTCCGAACGGGATCCTACGAATTGACTCCGAACGGGATCCTACGAATTGACTCCGAACGGGATCCTACGAATGACTCCGAACGGGATCCTACGAATTGACTCCGAACGGGATCCTACGAATGACTCCGAATGGGATCCTACGAATGACTCTGAACGGGATCCTACGAATGACTCCGAACGGGATCCTACGAATGACTCCAAACGGGATCCTACGAATGACTCCGAACGGGATCCTACGAATTGACTCCGAACGGGATCCTACGAATTGACTCCGAACGGGATCCTACGAATTGACTCCGAACGGGATCCTACGAATGACTCCGAACGGGATCCTACGAATGACTCCGAACGGGATCCTACGAATGACTCCGAACGGGATCCTACGAATTACTCCGAACGGGATCCTACGAATTACTCCGAACGCGATCCTACGAATGACTCCGAACGGGATCCTACGAATGACTCCGAACGGGATCCTACTAATTACTCCGAACGGGATCCTACTAATTACTCCGAACGGGATCCTACGAATTGACTCCGAACGGGATCCTACGAATGACTCCGAACGGGATCCTACGAATGACTCCGAACGGGATCCTACGAATGACTCCGAACGGGATCCTACTAATTACTCCGAACGGGATCCTACGAATGACTCCGAACGGGATCCTACGAATGACTCCGAACGGGATCCTACTAATTACTCCGAACGGGATCGTATGAATGACTCCGAATGGGATCCTACTAATTACTCCGAACGGGATCTTACTCCGAACGGGATCCTACTCCGAACGGGATCCTACTAATTACTCCGAACGGGATCCTATGAATGACTCCGAACGGGATCCTACTAATTACTCCGAACGGGATCCTACGAATGACTCCGAACGGGATCCTACGAATGACTCAAACGCGATCCTACTAATTATTCAAACGCAATCCTACTAATTACTCCGAATGCGATCCTACAAATTACTCTGAACGAGATTGTACGAATTAGCCACCACGTTACAGGTTTCCATGAGAGGGTTATGAACAAAAACATTTTTTTTTTTTTAATTATTAAACAATTTTTGCCATGAGAAACCTTGACTAATATTACAAGTGGACTTCAGGAGGGGGGGAAAAAATCTAATATATTACAAAAGTGATGAATATGGTCTCTTTAAGGAATGCCGGCTGAGGAGCGGTTAGTATTGGTCTCGGAGCGTAAGCACCATGCTGCTATACTGCATGCTGCAGGCTTATCTCAGTCCAAGGCATCAGTTCAGCAAATTCACCATGGCCTTGTACTGCACTGGGCCAAGGACCACAGAGTACCAGGAGAACAAGAATGAGAGAGTGAGAATGACAAAGCCAAACTTTTAGCTTTCAAATATACGGGAAATTGTATAATAACCTGTTGTGGAGAAGCAAAGCTTACAGTTTTGGGCACTTCGTATGCGATTTGAGTGGAGACGCCGCCCATGTCCAATACGCCAGCCGTACGCTTGCGCACCAGCGTCTCCTGCTGGTCACTGCCGGGAACCTGCACCTCCACCACTGCCTCATGTTCTGAGACACAAGTCAAGAAAATAGAAAAAAGAGAAGTGTAGCTGAAACTCAAATTTCTTTGGTAGGGCGTTTAAAATGTTGTGAAAGAAGAAAATGGCACAAAATCTCTTACCATCCTCAACATGATTGAATCGTCCCAGAACAAAGTTGATACCTATCCATGCATATACTCCTGCAAAAATAGAAAATAAATAAATACAGGTTTTCACTCAGCACAAAAAATGCGGTCAGTAAGAATTTTTTCCCCAAAGAAATACATTTATTCAGCAAGGATGTATTAAATTGATCAGTGACAGTAAAGACATTTATAATATAATTGTATTTAGAAAAGCCCTTCTGGGGACAAGTGTTGCAAATTAGCTTTAGCTACAAGCACTATGACTGTTGTCCCAGTTTTATCGATGTTTAATGTATCTGTCCCTATACAAATAAAGCATTAAATTAAATTAAAGAATTCAGAAAAAAGTATAAAAGATTCCATGAAAATCTGAAGCAGCACAACTGTTTCAACACTGATAATAATCAGAAATGTTCCTTGAGCATCAAATCATCATATTAGAATGATTTCTGAAGGATACTGAAGACTGTAGTAATGATGCTGAAAATTCAGCTTTGATCACAGGAATAAATTACGAATTAAAATATAAAGCAGTTATTTTACATTGTAATAATAATATTTCAAAATATTACTATTTTTACAGTATTTTTGATCAAGTAAATGCAGCCTAAGTGAGCACAAGATACTTTTTTTCAAAACGGCCCGGACTCCAAACTGTTAAACAGTAGTGTGGATTTGTGCAACGTTTGAATTAACCCTTTCATTTACGAACTGATGACTCCAGAGATGTTCTAGAAAGGTTCAGAGGTGGTTCTTACCTTCCTGTTTGCCGGAGATAACTTCCACATGCGAGTCGGAGAACAAGAAGTTGAAATTCACAGGAATGTCAGTCCGCAAATCCTCGAGCAGGGCCTCCTGTTGACTGCAAACAAACACAATCTCTTAGCACATGTGGCGGCTTTCCCATAGCATGCATCTAATGGAAGTGTGTGACTGGACACCTTTCAGGCAGGACTCTCATCCCCGCAGTGCACAGGATGTAGAGAGGCGTTTCCTGGTGCTTGTTTTTAGGGATGTGCTGAGCAGCAAAGCTCAACAGAGGGCTGATGTAGTCGCTGGCCTTGTCTGGTGTGGATGCATACTCAGAGATACCTGAACAGAACGGTAATAACATTATTTATAAGGGCGGGTATAGACAAAACTTCATGATTAACTTTGATCGAACACTGATTCATTTGGCTATAAATCAGGAAAAGTACATGTCATTTTTTTCTCAAAAAACAAAACAAAAACCTCCCTCAAATAAAGCTGTAAACCATACAGGGAACCATGTCAGTCGGTCCAATACTATAATATTAAAGGTTAAAATTAACGCTCAAATAAAACTGATTGGTTTACAAACTTTTAATTGCACATAAGGCAGTTTTTATAATAATACCTTTTATTTTGATGACGGATTAATCCAAACATACATTAAAAAAGACAACTTAAAGTCCACCTGTGGTGAAAATCAAGCTTTTAATGCTGTTTATATGTCTATATGGTGTTTTTAATATGCTTTAAGACAAACCATGTGTAAATTCATAAGTCGACAGCATTGCTGAGTATTTTCTGCTTAAAACTGCAGTGAACCAAAGACAGTCTCAAAAACACAGTTTGAAATCGCTGGTGTTTCTGACGTCACACACTACCTCGTAACCAATCAGATCAACGTGTGATCGTCAACCAGTGGATCTCTGAGCTGAGTGAGTGAGTGGAGGCGGGGCTCATTTAATCGCAATGGTTGCTGTCCACCTGAGTTGCTTGTTCAATGATGTATGACTCGCAATGACGGGAATATCTGATCTGTCCGCTTACATGGCGGACTCAAATGCATGTGTCCGATTCATATCTGCATATGAATGAGGCCTAAAACCGATCTGAGAATATCAGAATCCACGTGCTTTTTTTCCTGCTAACACGTTCGTGGGTCATATCCGATCTGTGTCACATCACATGGGAGAATTGGAGAATCAGAATTGGGTCACTTGAACCATGTAATGTAAATGCGGCCTAAGATATCAGCACAGGCCATCAATCAATATCGGTTGACTACTAAGTTTACCATTCCAGGCCATGATTCTGCTCATTCATTCCCACACTGACCTGGCTTGATCTTCATCACTACAGGCTTCCTGTGCTTGTCTCGCATCTGCTTGATGTCGAGGAGTTCGTGCAGGTTGCCGTTGTGCCGGGGCCATGTGTATACGAACACGCGGGAGCCACTACTTCCACAGTCCACCACCAGCCCGTAGTTCAGATTGGGGTTATTGGTGTCCGTGGCATCCATGTCCGGCACCCGACCCAAACGTCTAGATGAGACACATTGATCACGATGATTAGATTGGCTGAGATGCGTTACAGAAGTAAGAGAAGTGATCAGAAGTGATGGGTGTTTTACGTGTGGAGGTGCCGGTCCTCTCTTAACCAGCTGTACTGGCCCTTCTCCGTGACCAGCAGCAGGTACAGCACCCCCGTCACACCGGCCAGCAGACCCAGCAGCAGCAACTGCCTGAAGGACGGCAGCAGGAACCGGGGCAGCACCACCGGAGACAGGCTGAAGTGCCAGGATGCTGGAAACAGGCAGGAAATGCTAATCCTGCAGGGGGTAAAAATAATGATGAGCAATGCATCACTATGGATACTGGATCCTTTTAGCTCGGTTCAAATTGGGAAAGATTTTTGTTGCTTGTTCTAGTCACTTAAAGGGTTAGTTGACACACACATGAAAATCCTGTCGTCAATTACTCACTCTCATGTCGTTCCAAACCCATAAGACTCTCATTCCTCTTCGAAAAACACAAATGAAGATTTTTAATGAAATGTCCATTAATGCAAAACTCTAACGCTTCAAAACATTCATAAAGAGATCGTAAAAGAAATCCATTTGAACAAAGTAGTTAAGTCTTCTGTAAAGACACTTTCGCTTTATATGATGAACAGATTTAATTTAGAAGACTTGGGTTAAACCGCTCATTTCTTTTATGACCTTTTTTTTATGAACCGCCAAGAGTTTTGGGTGAATGGAAAAGGAAAGACCGAAATATCTCAAATTTCATTACAAATATTTTCATTTGTGTTCAAAAGATAAAGATGAATAAAAGTAAATGATGACAGGATTTTTTAACTAACCTTTTAATTGAAATGAGCTAAAACAATTGCTGAACACTTTATTACATCTTAATTTCATGTGTTCAGTCCACTTTAATATGTCAAATTAAAGTTGACTTAATCCATTTGTGCGTGGATGACATGAATCAGTTTTGTTGCATTAACTAAAACTGTGTATTCTCCCAGCATGCTTTGCATAGGACTGAATTGGTAGAGTACATTTTTTAATTACGTGTTATTTTATGCATTTTGATTAAAAGCAAAGATGTATTAAAGTCACCATGAAATCAAAACGGACAATTCTTGTTTTTTATTGACTATTGCAGTATTTATTATAAATGTTTTATCCGTGCACATCTTTTTTTTTTTTATTCATTATCTTTAAACAAAATAACCCTTTAAGACATATCTTCTCTTCTCTGATGATGTGTTTACTGGCGTGAGGGCGGGGCAACCTGTCACTCACATGAGATCCACCAATAGCAAACCACAACCATCCAATCAATTCCCCATGGATAAAATCAAGTCCCACCCTACAATTTTCTTGTTCAAGAAGCCGTTTCACTCGGATATACGTCACAATAGGGAAGAAAAGACTATTGCAACTTCTGTTTCATGCCGACTTTAAGGTGCAAAGTTGCAAGGTCATAATATCACAGGCAAAAAACGTCCATTGTCATTTGTGTTAGCAATGCATGAAGCTCAGCTCACACAAAACTTGCTTTCAAACCAAGCAACTTTTGTGAGCTGAGCGTCGTGCATTGCTACACTATTGACAATAGACAATGGTTTCTGATGGTCAACAGTGTATTCGATTGAGAAACTTGAACCTGTTGTGAAATCTGCTTAGCGAATTAATTCATCCCTCATATATTATACAATGACTACATTTTTTCTTTTTTTGCTTTATTTAATGTGTCAGTGCAGTGACAAACGTTAAAAAAATTAAAATTTATTTTGACACTGATTAATCATCCACAATAACACAAGGATTGCGCATTTACTTTGTAAAAAGCAACTATTCTTATATCATCTCGACTTTAAGGGTTTGTCAAGCATAAGAAACTTCATTGATAACAATAAGGTAGTCATTTATTTGCCATTACATACATAAGATTTCACAAATCAACTTTTCCCATATGAGAAAACCCCTTCCCTCAAACGACTTCAGTTTTGTACTTGCCTTCCCATCGCTGGAGTGGATGAACAGGTGAGGTGGACGAATCAAACCTTTACTGGCAACCTCTTCTCTATACAGGTGTATTCCTCCATGACGTCATATTTCAAGTCATCATCGTCATGATCAAGGTCTTTCACGCGTGTGCAGGTGTGCTGAGGAGACGTGGCATGTCCTGACAGACACACACACACATCAGGAAGTTAAATAACCGCATCAGCACGGCCAGGAGTGTGGCGTGTAACGTTTACTAGTTCACTTGTAGTACAGAAGTGCAGCTGTGATGTCTAGCTCGAGATCTAGATAACAATTAATGTCTAACAGTTAGTTGCCTACATAGACAGCATTCAGTAGAAGGCGCCTGTGAACCCCATGTTCGAACACAACCTTAATGCTGTCTAGGTAGGGAGCTCACTCGATTTTGAAACACAACCGCAGATAATGTCTTATCACGAGCTGTGCGTTTCCCAGGCCGAGAACAGTTTCATGATAAAGGATGTTTATTTGATACTTAAAAGTAGGTCAGGTTGTGAAGAGACAGACTGGTGTGATTTAAAGCTGTCAGGTGTGTTTATACTCTGATTAACAGTTAGATAAATATCTGTATGAACGCAGGAAAATGTTCTCACCGTTCGGCTACATCTGGGACGGATGCGTCAATAATACAGCCATCCTCTGAGATTTACGTTACGAATTCAAGAGTCCAAGAATTGAAATCCTCTCGGTGAACACATTAATATGGCAGTTTAATTCCTGTGGTAGTGGTGATAGTTCAAATTCGGCCGAGAAAAGGCTCTAGCCTAATTCCCGGTAGTTACCGAGCAACAGTTCAGTACGATCAGTAGTAAAGACGGTTAGTGCGCATGCGCGTCGATGCCGGAAACTTGCGCCTGCGTGTACACTGCTGCTATGACGTCATTTTGCGTATCCATTCGTCATTCATATTTATAGATCACATTTATTTAATTTCTTTACAGCCTATGGTCAAATCATATTCTTTTAGAATCATACAAATATATTGTTAAATAGGACCACACTACTGTTCAAAAGTGCAGGGTCGGTAACATTTAAAAAAAAAAAAACTTTTATGTAGCAAGGATGATGTTACAAAAGATTTACATTACAAATAAATGCTTCTTTTATAAACATTCTATTCAAAAAACAAATCTGAAGAAGTGTATCATGGTTTCCATAAAAAAAATTAAGCATTACTATTTTCAACATTGATAATACATATTCCTTGAGCACCAAATCAGCATATTAAAATAATTTCGGAAGGATCAGATTCACATTCGCCATCAAATAAATACTTTATCTTAAATAGTAATATTCACATATATTACTCTTTTACTGTATTTTTGATAAAAAAATATAGTACATTTTACCAGCCCCAAACAATGATGTAAATGATTGTCTTTAGTTTCTATAATTGTTCATAACTTTTTAATGAGGCTATGTACTTACAAAAACAACAGATATATACTATATTCTTTACAAAATATTAATAATAATGTAGACACATCTGAGTGAGCATCTCACTTCTCAACAAATGCACAGAGAATATTGTTTATTTGGCATCATAATTTGTAGTTTTATTAGAATAATACATTGTACAGACTTTACAAACTCAAGAAGGCCACTCTTAAAACTGTCTTTAAAAAACAAAAATAAACATGCTATTACAAACATGAATAAGGGCTCTTCATAAAGACTTGGTAGGGCGTATTACAATGTAAGGACACACGTTCTGTACTGTCTCTGATGGCTTTATCGGACAGCGTTGAACCCATAGTAGCTTGTGCTTGTGCTGAACGCTCACTGTGCCGACTCCATCCTCCTCTGAACTGCGGAGCAGAGAGAAGGAAACATTCAGAAAGACTCGCAATAAAGAGAAATTCACCTCAAAGTTACAAGCTTAGAATCACTGACTATTATGAGAAAAAGAACAAAAACTAAACTGAAACTAGAAATATGCACTTCAATAAAAAACGAAAATGAAACCGAGTTACTCAATCAATGGATGGATGGTAATGAAATGAATCAATGATGGATGGTTTGATTGATAATCTGGCAAGCTTGACCTGGAAGATGTCACAACAAACTGCACGATTAGACAGGAAGGGGCGTTTGATTGACATGTCCAACAACCAACCAGTTTCAACACTTTACACATAAATCTGGTACATCAACATAACCAACATAATAAACCAGCTGTAGCAAGGTGGTGCTTCTGTGTCTGAAATATTTGGATTTTTATTAACATTTTAAAATGTTATTAAGGTTTGTTCAAATCCCTAACGCCAAGATAATGTCGTCACGAAATTGGAATTTCTAAATTCCATACAATACCTTGAAAAATAACAATATTAAGTTACGTTTTTAATTCAATGGGGGAAAATTGCCACAACATTAAGAGCATAACATTTCAACAAAATCATTTTCTTACCAACAGACATTTTATTGTCTAAGATTCGTCAGACCCGATAGCTATGAGGCTGATTCAATAATAATAATAATGTTTTTAATATCTATTTTACATATTTTTAACATTTATGTTTTACAGTGCAGCTGTATTACTATGTGTATTTGTATATATGTATATATACACATACAGTACCGGTCAAAAGTTTGGAAGCATTACTATTGTTTAAGTTTTTTGAAAGAAGTCTCTTCTGCTCATTAAGCCTGCATTTCTTTGATCAAAAATACAGACAAAAACAGTAAAATTGTGAAATATTATTACAATTTAAAATAATGGTTTCTATTTTAATTATGTATGATAATGATAATATATGATGCAAAGCTGAATTTTCAGCATCATTACTCCAGTATTCAGTGTCACATGATCCAATATATATAACAATCATAAATCTTTAATATCACTTTTTATCAATTTAACACATCCTTACTGAATAAAAGTATTAATTTCTTTAAAAAAAAAAGAAAAATGCAAAAAATCCAGAAATATTTTATTGTAAACAGGAGATAAAGATAACAAACGCTTCGGCTCACTGACACGGACGAAGGCAAAGAGCCGAAACGTTTGTTATCTTTATCTCCTGTTAACAATAAAATATTTCTAGAGTGCAGACCTTTTTTTGCATTTTCGGATTGATACGTACATTGGTCTCAGCACCTAATTAGCTGGGAGAGCGCAGTGAGGGTTTTGCGGTAGTGCATATAGTTACAAAAGATTCCTATTTTAAATAAATGCTGTTCTTTAACTTTTTATTCATCAAAGCATCCTGAAAAAAGTATCACAGCCTTCACAGGTTATAAAAAAAATATTAAGCAGCGCCCTTATATTATATATATATGTGTGTGTGTGTGTTATTTCTAAGAAACGAATGTATTAATATTGTAATACAACTGCAAAATAAAAAGTGAATATTTCATAATAAGTATATTCATTATTTTACTCTACACAGCATTAGCGAAATTATAATAATTATGTCTAAACATCTTCACTTGCGGGAGTTAAAACCTTAAGCTTTTATTTTGGCAGAAAACTGCAGGGAAGCCATTTAAGTTTCTGTCACAACAAACGTTTCTCATAACAAATCTAGTGAAAAGCTGTAATCATCAAAAAAAAAAAAAGTATATTTTTGACAACACTACTCCAAGTATGAGCAATAGTGATGCTTGCCTTAAGCCGGGGACACTCTTCACGACTGTACGGCCGATTATGAATGTCATTTGATACTTACGACTGACTGATCATGCCCAAACGGGGCGAGTCGCGTTCAGTCGGTGTTCACAGTTGGTGTTTAAAATCTGCTGCGGTCGTTGGAAACAGTCTGTAAGTGTGTTTAATGTTTCAGCTAGTCGTTAAGTGTGTCCCCGGCATTAGAAACATTTAGAAAATAACAACAGGGCTAAAAGAAGAGCGTAAAGAAACCTGTGTCAGAGACTGTGAGTCGACTCAGCTCTCTGTCCAGCTCCTCATCTGTGATGCCCAGGCTGGAGTCAGGCACGCAGGGCAGAGACTGGAGGAAATCCGCATCCGGGACACCCGTTTTCCTGGGAGGAGAGAGAGGGTGCGTGGGCACCACTGGGAGCACGTCCTTATCTAGGATAGTGTTCTCCAATAATGACTTCAGCTCCTCCTCCAACTCCTCTGAATCCTCACCTATGAGAACATGAGGAATTATGTACTCTTTTAGCCAACTTTATGGTAAAGACACTCAGTCCAGTCGGTATTGTCATTGATGAATGAATAGTAGAAGCATGTATGGGAGAAATGCCAATCATAGCAAAACACTAGGGTCGGGTATCATTTGAATTTTAACGATTCCGTTTCATATCGATTCCAAATTTCGATTCCAATAAGGTAAACAAAATTCCTTAGATATCATTCACATTTAGTGTTATTGCAAAACATTTAATTGTAGCTAAATATCATAAACAAAAAACAAGAGGCTAAAGAACACTTACGCAAGGAACTAGCCTAACTAATATATAACATTAAGAATATAGTTACAAAAGTAATTCAGTCAAGAACGAGTGAATTTTCTTTTTTCTTTTGTTGTTTGATTAGTGTTATTATAGAGACGGCAGCAGGAATGTTAAGAGTTGCACAGATCCAATATATCATATAAACACACGCCTGCAGCACAGAAAACAGCGCGCACTTGAGTGGTTTAAAATCACATTAAAATCACATTTCCTGTACACACGTTTTGGATGTGTGTGCGGCACATAAAGCAGCACACAGCGCTTGAATTTCATATTGAAATGCTCACAAAGGAATCTATAAGGGGAATCTAAGTTTTTATTTTATAACAAGTATCCGATTCCTATGGAAGCTTGTTTCCGCCACAGAATGAAAAATAAAAAAGGTAATTCTGACTTTTTTTCTCACAATTGCGAGTTTACATCTCACAATTCTGACTTTATTTCTCAGAATTGCGAGATATAAAGTCAGAATTGCGAGATATAAAGTCAGAATTGCGTGATATAAAATCGAAGTTGCGTGTTATAAAGTCAGAATTGCGAGATATAAAGTCAGAATTGCGAGATATAAAGTCAGAATTGCGTGATATAAAATCGCAGTTGCGTGTTGTAAAGTCAGAATTGCGAGATATAAAGTCAGAATTGCGAGATATAAAGTCAGAATTGCGTGATATAAAATCGCAGTTGCGTGTTATAAAGTCAGAATTGCGAGATATAAAGTCAGAATTGCGAGATATAAAGTCAGAATTGCGAGATATAAAGTCAGAATTGCGTGATATAAAATCGCAGTTGCGTGTTGTAAAGTCAGAATTGATTGATATAAAGTCGCAATTGCGTGTTATAAAGTCAGAATTGCGAGATATAAAGTCAAAATTGCGTGTTTTAAAGTCAGAATTGTGAGATATAAACTATTCTGAGGGGGAAAAAGTTAGTCTTTTTCCCCCCTTAGAATTGGCCTGATAACTCGCAATTGCGAGTTTATATCTCATAATTCTGAGAAAAGATGTCAGAATTTCGAGATATAAAGTCGCAATTATGTGTTATAAAGTTATAAAGTCGCAATTCTGTCTTTTTTTCTCGCAATTGCGACTTTATTTCTCAGAATTCTGACTTCATATCTCGCAATTGTGAGATAAAAAGTCGCAATTATTTGTATTTATTTTTTTATTCAGTGGCGGAAACAAGCTTCCATAGATTCCTGACCTCAAGTATTTGATTCCAGAATTGGAATCGCTTTTCGATTCCCAACCCTACTCCACACGCAGAAACGCTCTCATTGTCTGCAGAAAGGGCTGATATTCAGAATACACCTGGCCCTTTTTAGCTTTAAATGTATGTGTTAGCACAGTGAAATACATAAAGTGAAACTTGAATACCAGAATCCAGCACCCCACCGGCAAGAGTCTGGTTGACTTCATCCTGAGTGTCGCATAACTGTGCAAAAAGCATAAATGCAAAATAAAGACCTTCATTCAAAATATCTATAACTATATTCAAACTACCATAGCATAAACCATGCATTTGTCACACGTCACCTCTTGTATCTGATCCACCAGGTTCTCCGCTCGCTCCACAGTCACACCCTTCAGAGAGATTCTCAGAGCCGCCACCCCTGCCTGGTACGCCTGCATCACCTGCACACACACCAGGACACTTCGTCAACACGAGCGGAATCAACATGGTGACGTTTGTGGTGTGCATCAACAACAAAACGATTTACATATTCCTTAAAGAAAATGCATGCTAGGTGGTTGTGAACAAGTTGAATTTATCCACAAATGTGTCTACAAAAAGTGTGAATCGAGTCTTCAAACCAATAAGCTGTTATTTTTTCCTGTGGAGCAAAAGCAAAAGTAGATAATCTGAAGAAAGCACACGCAGCTCTTTTCCATACAATGATGGTTCATACGACATGTGAGCTTTATTTCAAGGGGAAGATTTTGAAAGAATAACTAAAATTTCAATTGGTTCCTAACACAAAGATTGGAATAGAGTTCGCTCGACAACTTTTATGGGGTTTTTGTTGTCCACTTGACAGTCACAGTCATGTTATGGAAAAGAAGAACATTCTTTAAAGTTTCTGCTTTTGTGGCAAACAGAGTTTGAGTGAATAATGACTTTAAGCCATTTAAAGTAGATTACCATATTTTCCAGAAAGTAATTAGCACGTGACTTTAAGTCGCACCAGGTCAAAATTGCATTATTGAGGAAAATAAAACGATAAGTTGCTTCGGTGTACAGGTCACATTTTATTATTGCATAAAAATATTAAAGTGCCCCTATTATGCTATTTTAAAGGTTCCTCCAAAACAAGAGTCTCCTACAACAGGTTTACATGCATCCAAGGTCAAAAACGCTTTAGTTTTCTCATAATATCCATCGCACATCACCTACTTTCTCAAAGAGTTTGAAAACGGTTCATTCGAAGATTCTCTAAACCCTCCTTTCTGAGAGCCTGCTCTGCTCTGATTGGTCAGATGGCCCAGTCTTTTGGTCTACCGCTTACAGCGCGTGTCGGAAACCAAGCGACTATTGGCATATCTGTATTTCAGCTCTTGAGGCTTCATTAGCACTATAAACAGTAACGATGGCGCCGGTTTTACAGTATAAATTCCAGCGCGAGTCTCATCCTTTGGAAGTGCATCAAAGTAGATTTGCTTTCGCAGCAGAAAACAGCGTCTTCTCGACATCAACAACACGAACCAAACTCTTCCGGTCTCAACTACAACTACTGTGTCTGAGGGGAAAAGTAGACGTTGTTCACAAGCAGCCAATGAAGACCAGAGACTGGCATTATGCAAATTTGTTACATTGTTATGTAGACTTGTAACAGGAAGTGAGACTGGAATTACCGACGACTCGTTTCAGGCGGTTCAGAATCAATTCTTTCATTAAGGAGACAATAATTTTATTTGACGTCCACTTTGATCTTTAAAAGACCTTAGCAGACCTTTTACAAACAGCATGAAATACGATATTCAAAAAAGCATTATAGAGGCACTTTGAATAACAAACATTATAAACACTACAAACGTGATTACAGAGTGCAATACAGAGTTGGCTGGTAGGAGTGTGTGTTGGCCAACAGCATGTGCTGTCACTCACACCAGACTGTGTCATCTGTGTATGTGTGCGTCTCACCAGACGGTCGGTTTGAGAGTTTGCTATTCTGTCCAGGATCCCCTTCACTGTCTCGAGCTGAGCAAACAGACGATCCGCTTTCTTCTCCACACGCTTGCTTCCACGTAAACACCTCAGGGCCTGTGGCAGGACAAAGTGGGAATTCATTAAAACACTTTTCTTGCCTATTACAGTAAAAGGGCGTTAAACACAAAAAGGGTCAAACAAAGTGTGCTTATACCTGTGATTTCTTCCCCTCTTTAAGCAGTGATTTTGCCTGCTGCTTACACCTGCGAGTTAGACAACACATACAGCAGTTTAGCCACTGTAATTACCCATCATGCCACAGAAACGGCACCGGACCGAAATAACAGCTGCGTCCGAAAGCTTAGGCATCTAACTTCAAGTAATGATGACTTTGCGCATGAAGGCACCTCACGCAACACAAGACTTCTGAGGCCGCATAATGATTTAAAGGGATAGTTCACCCAAAAATGAAAATTATGCCATAATAAGTTACTCTCCCTCAAGCCATCCTAGGTGTATATGACTTTCTTCTTTCAGCCGAACACAATCAGAGTTATATTAAAAAATATCCTTGCTCTTCCAAGGTTGATAATGGCAGTGAATGGTGCCACAGATTTTGAAGCCCAAAAAAAGCGTATTCCATCCATCATAAAAGTAATCCATCCGGCTCCAGGGGTTAATAAAGATCTTCTGAAGTGAAGCCAAGCGCTTTTGAAAGAAAAATATCCATGTTAAAAACTTTATGACCCGACTTAGGACGTAGCTCCTCTTCTCTTATTTTGAAATCATCCAACATTTCACTTTAAAAATTCTCGTTTTAGACTTAATTCGTGACCGGTGATTTGTTTTGCTCTATCCACTGCGCTTCCGCGTTCACCAATACGTCAGAGGTCACTCTTCATGCGTCGGGTCAGAGGTCACTCTTCATGCGTCGAGTCAGAGGTCACTCGTCAGGTGTTGGGTCAGAGGTCACTCGTCAGGTGTCGGGTCAGAGGTCACTCTTCATGCGTCGGGTCAGAGGTCACTCTTCATGCGTCGGGTCAGAGGTCACTCTTCATGCGTCGAGTCAGAGGTCACTCTTCATGCGTCGGGTCAGAGGTCACTCTTCATGCGTCGGGTCAGAGGTCACTCTTCATGCGTCGGGTCAGAGGTCACTCTTCATGGGTCGGGTCAGAGGTCACTCTTCATGCGTCGGGTCAGAGGTCACTCTTCATGCGTCGAGTCAGAGGTCACTCGTCAGGTGTTGGGTCAGAGGTCACTCGTCAGGTGTCGGGTCAGAGGTCACTCTTCATGCGTCGGGTCAGAGGTCACTCTTCATGCGTCGGGTCAGAGGTCACTCTTCATGCGTCGAGTCAGAGGTCACTCTTCATGCGTCGGGTCAGAGGTCACTCTTCATGCGTCGGGTCAGAGGTCACTCTTCATGCGTCGAGTCAGAGGTCACTCTTCATGGGTCGGGTCAGAGGTCACTCTTCATGCGTCAGGTCAGAGGTCACTCTTACGCCAGAACTCGACTCGCGTACGGCCGTTAGCAGAAGCCAGTGATTATAGTTTATAAAGTCATAAATATGGATATTTTTCTCACAAAAACACATGGCTTCGCTTCAGAAGGCCTTTATTAACACCATGCCGTATGGATTACTTTTGTGATGGATGGATGTGCTTTTTTGGCTTCAAAAACTCAGCACTATTCAATGCCATTATAAAGCTTGGAAAAGCCAGGATATTTTCTATTGTGTTCGGCTGAAAAAAGAAAGTCATATACATCTAGAATGGCTTGAGGGTGAGTAAATCATAAGGATCATTTTCATTTTTGGGTGAACTATCCCTTTAATGATCTACAAGAAAATAGAGAGAGCTTTAGTGATAAACTAAGCGAATATTTCATTACTAAAATACCAATTTCTTCAATTTCTACAGACAGTGTGATTTCAGCAATCCTATAAGATCTTTACAAATCACACTGTACGACATGGATCAAATAAACTAAAAAAAACACGCATTGAAGTAAGCCACACGTAAGCTACGACGCAAGTTCGTATAGAAGAATAAAACATCATCAGCATGAGCTAGTGGTGAACAAACTGAGGAAGATGATTCGCACTTTGGCAAATGTGGTTTTATGTGCGCTGAAAACAAAAAAGAGGAGCAAGTGAAAGAGGAGAATATGGATGTGGCGAGGGAGAAGAGGCCAACTTGCCAAATGTAGCTTGAGATAGTTTTAAGTTTTAGTGCCATGTCGCGTTGATCAATACGCCATGTTTCATTTTTATTGGCTAGTCAGTAGACATAGGTCGTAGCAGCAAACACACTGAGATGATCATGCTGAGCTTCTGACATTGTCCAAAAAATGATCGCAGGCTGTCTTTGAACCTCTCTCACTGCAAGACATAGGACCACCGTTTAGGAGCCACGGAAATCGCCACGATTGGTCATCTTCCGTCTAGGACAGACCAAGTTCCTACAATGTCAAAGGTCAAACTGACCACCAACCTCAACTTTCAGACGCCATGTTTTTTTGGCTAAACTGTCACCAAATCAAACGCGCAGGATTTTGGAACATCATATGCAGTGAAGGATACGTCTGTGCCGTGCAAATCAATCAAATGAAGGCATCTCAGACAGTACACGGGCTGTGACACGATCACAGGATTCAGACGTGCCTTGTTCCCTCTCTACCTCAGCGTTCTTTAGCTTTCGGACGCAGCTGCCAATGACAATACAGTTTGTATGAACTGGCTCACTTTTCTGCCTCCAGTCCCAGCACCTCCACCCTCTCCTCCAGAAGCTTCTCGCTGCGCTGGAGCTGATAGATGCCCAGGTCCACCTCGCTGACCGGAGACACACGGCCCTGTCCTGCCTGACTGAATTTCACCAGCTATACAGAGACAAGATCAAAAGGTCAATCAGAACGGAGCAAACTGAACCCAAACATGTGCTAAAAGATACTAATCCAATAATCGGAGCCCTTCAGCGACACAGATTTGAGAGAAATGTTGGAACATTATTCTATGTCTATTGTCTATGCTTAGAGTTCTCAACAAGACTGCATTTATTTAATCAAAACAGTAATATTGTGACATACTATTGCAATTTGAAATAACCATTTTCTATTAGAAACACATTTTGATCAAAGCTAAAATTACAGCATCATTACTCCAGTCTTCAGTGTCACATGATCCTTCAGAAATCATTTTAATTTGATGATTTGATGCTCAAGAAACGTATTTCTTATTATCAATGTTGAAAACATTTTTTTGGGTGGAAACCATAAGACATTATTTTTCCAGGATTCTAAAGAACATTGTAATTTTTACTGTCACTTCTGATTAATTTACTGTGTTTTTGCTGAATTTTTGTTAGAAAAAAGAGAAGAAAAAAAATCTTACTGAGCTCAAACGTTTGAACGGCGGTATATTAAGGACTCGCTGAAAATGGTTAACCTGCATTAGTATCTACAGAACGTTCAAAATACATCCACTTTCTATCCTAATGTGTTTGCGAGTACATCAGGTTTCGCTCTTGTACTCAAACCCACCTTCTCTCCTTCGTGGAGTGAGACGGTGACATGTTTCTCTCTCTGGAGCTGTAGCAGAGCCATGCAGAGCGAGCTTTCATCGGGACAGATGTGAGAGGAGAGCGCACGCAGCTCTGGGAACGACAGCAGAGAGCGCACTGCTAAAGGAGAACCTCGATATGCCGCCAAAAGCGCCGCAGCCTTTTCCTGCAAGAGAACAAATCTTGACCGATAACTACATGCGAATAAGACACAGAGGGAGCTTTTTTTATTTATTGCAAATTATAAATAAAAAAAGAAAATTAAAGTCAACACTGAGATTACAGCTCCAAACATGTATTTATAAATAGCGAAACGTCTTCATCAGGCACAATAACCTTATTATGCAACTCTTTTTGCCAATTTGGGTGCACTCCTTTTTTTTGTATTTTTGATCATTGCAAATTAGATCATCATAAAAATTAAAGCTGCAGTAGGGAGTTTTGAGAAAACGTTGACTTAGCCTGAAAATTTGAACAAGCACAACTTCCAGGTCCCACCCCCTTGCTCTCTGCTGCGCTACAGCCCTCCCTCCACAGCTCGTCCTCCACAGCGGAGCCTGTCGTGAACGCGCAGGCTAGTAAACAGGGCCCCCGATAACAGCGGATAAAAAGTTATATGGCACATTCACTAATAGGGACTAAACGTCAACAATATGCTTTACATTGACTATGGCCTGCCCATACTTTGACTACAAACTTGGTCCTCAAATCATTATGTATTTTCCAATAGCCTACATGTAACTTTATAACGTTGCACTCTTTCTATAAGTTATAAATAGCTAGTAAGATAACGTTAATATAACGGTAACTAACGTTACAGTATGTAAGTAATTATTCTAGCGATACACTCCCCTAAAGGATTATTAGGAACACCATACTAATACTGTGTTTGACCCCCTTTCGCCTTCAGAACTGCCTTAATTCTACGTGGCATTGATTCAACAAGGTACTGAAAGCATTCTTTAGAAATGTTGGCCCATATTGATAGGATAGCATCTTGCAGTTGATGGAGATTTGTGGGATGCACATCCAGGGCACGAAGCTCCCGTTCCACCACATCCCAAAGATGCTCTATTGGGTTGAGATCTGGTGACTGTGGGGGCCATTTTAGTACAGTGAACTCATTGTCATGTTCAAGAAACTAATTTGAAATGATTCGAGCTTTGTGACATGGTGCATTATCCTGCTGGAAGTAGCCATCAGAGGATGGGTACATGGTGGCCACAAAGGGATGGACATGGTCAGAAACAATGCTCAGGTAGGCCGTGGCATTTAAACGATGCCCTATTGGCACTAAGGGGCCTAAAGTGTGCCAAGAAAACATCCCCCACACCATTACACCACCACCACCAGCCTGCACAGTGGTAACAAGGCATGATGGATCCATGTTCTCATTCTGTTTACGCCAAATTCTGACTCTACCATCTGAATGTCTCAACAGAAATCGAGGCTCATCAGACCAGGCAACATTTTTCCAGTCTTCAACTGTCCAATTTTGGTGAGCTCTTGCAAATTGTAGCCTCTTTTTCCTATTTGTAGTGGAGATGAGTGGTACCCAGTGGGGTCTTCTGCTGTTATAGCCCATCCGCCTCAAGGTTGTGCGTGTTGTGGCTTCACAAATGCTTTGCTGCATACCTCGGTTGTAACGAGTGGTTATTTCAGTCAAAGTTGCTCTTCTATCAGCTTGAATCAGTCAGCCCATTCTCCTCTGACCTCTAGCATCAACAAGGCATTTTCGCCCACAGGACTGCCGCATACTGGATGTTTTTCCCTTTTCACACCATTCTTTGTAAACCCTAGAAATGGTTGTGTGTGAAAATCCCAGTAACTGAGCAGATTGTGAAATACCCAGACCGGCCCGTCTGGCACCAACAACCATGCCACGCTCAAAATTGCTTAAATCACCTTTCTTTCCCATTCTGACATTCAGTTTGGAGTTCAGGAGATTGTCTTGACCAGGATCACACCCCTAAATGCATTGAAGCAACTGCCATGTGATTGGTTGATTAGATAATTGCATTAATGAGAAATTGAACCTAATTCAGTTCCTAATAATCCTTTAGGTGAGTGTATAATGCTAGATAAGGTGTGCTAGTACATTATTTCAGCAACATGACAAGCCAGTGAATTAGCAGGTTTCAATTGTTGCTTAGCAGAGTGCGTGACATTTTATCTACATGTTATGCGGCTAGAGTTTTGACACCGAGTCAATGGGCTCTGTGTAATTCTTTCTTTTTCGCTTGTTTATCGTCATCAGTCTTTTTCCTTTTACCTCTTTGTTTTATGAGCAGGTGTCACTCGAGAATTGGCAGTTTAGGTTGTTTCTCCGTCATAAGCACAGCTGCACCACGCCGGCAATCTTGAGTTTGAATGACGCATCGCGCTGTGCAAGAGAGGGGTGTGATCAGCGCGTACACGAGCGTGATTGACACTGCTAAGACATTCCTCCTGGCTCTGATTGGTTGTTTCTGACCGGGAGCGTGTATTTCTGCAAATGGCAATAGGACCACTGGGAGGAGCCAGAAGAGCTTGATTTTTTTTTCACAGATTATCCGTCTCATTTTCTACTGTCAGGATAAATTGACAGTTTTAACAAATATGTAAAAATTATTTTTTACAAAAGTTACCTACAGCAGCTTTAAGAGTTAAAAATAGGATATTTTCAGAATGTCTTCGTATTCATTATGTTCCCCAATATGGACAGCAGCACTTGAGCTGCGTATTGCAGTATATGTATATGTTTAGTGAAAAGGGCACTGCAAATTACACTACAGTAGTTATGTTCGCATTCAAAGTTGCAAATTTAACTTATGTGCAAAAATTGGAATATTGGATCAAACATTTGCGAATAAACCAGCGTTTCCATTTTAATTTCCCGCATCATTACGCCAGTCTTGAGTGTCACATGATCCTTCAGAAATCATTCTAATATGATGATTTGATGCTCAAGAAACAGGCCCAAGGCCCTTGCACACTTTTTCGTATGCGTTTTTTCGTATTCGTGATTCGGTGGCTCTGAATTGTCAAAACCCCATTCAAACTGCTTGCTACGGATGCGCAAAACGCAGAAAATCGAAGCCGATCCAATTTTTTTTAATGACGGACGAAAGTTTCGGAGGCAGTATGCAAATTATTGACATAACGTGAGGTCGTATTTATTTTTTAACGTGCGAAAATTTCGGACTCAGTGTGCAAGGGCCTTTACAATGTAAAAAAAATGACTGTCACTTTTGATAAATTAAATGTCCTTGCTGAAAAAGTGTTAAAAAAAAACTTACTGACCCCAAACTTTTGACCTATAGCATATAAATGCAAATGGGTAAAGACTTTATTCTGTTACGTAACACCATTTAACCATTGAACATTCATTCCGATTCATAACCGATTCACATTTTGACTGAAGACACACTTACCTTAACCAGTTCTATCACAACGAACATCTCCTCCAGCGGGACCCTCCCGCTGCCCAGCAGAGCCGACAGAGTCCACTTCAGAGGCCGGACTAACAGCAGCCCAACACCCCACGACAACCAGCCCGAGTCTACGTTTGCAGCGAAGTCGGATTCTTTCTGCACCTTCCCACTCCTAGAAGGACAAAACAAATCTGAATAACATGCCATAAATACATGTAACGATTAAACATCATGATCTACGAGACACTGGCTGCGTCCGAAAGCTTAAAAACGCTGCCTTTCGGAGGACGCGTTAGCTTCACTTCCTGTCTCCTGAGATCCCTTCATCTGATCAATCTTTGAAGGCAGTATAGATGCATCCTTCACTGCCTTTGAAATCCCACAATCCTGTGCGTTCCGTTCCATGACAAAACATTATGAGATAAAACTTAAAGACAGCATCTAAAAGTTGCGCATTGTGTGTGAATTGTGTGTGTCAGACGAGGAATACATTTCCACTTTTTATGTCATTTCTAGCAAGAAATCACAGTGACTAAATGAATATTCACTTATTTATCCCCAAAGCTCTCTCTATTTTGCTGCAGATGCTCTCGAACGCAGCCATTACACTCGAGGTGACAGCGACTTACCGAATCATGCTCTGAATTACAGTACTCAAGCCCAGAGGAACGATGCCCTTCCTTCTGAAACTCTCATTCAAGTCCTGCAGACTCACACACACCGAGCCGCGTCTCCTGCAGTGGTCAACGATCAGAGGACTCCAGAAGTCTATCTTCCCATCCCAGTCGGTACAGTCAACATCCCGGTTCTCTTTAAAGGCAGAGAACAAGAAAGCCATCCGCTCGTCATCCTCCCAGTCCGAAGGGAAGCACGCGTCCCTCTCCTGCGCTGAAACCGACATCGTGCTGCCAATGAAAGAGCCCGGGTGATTAATGAAGAGAAGTACACTTCAGCATACTTTTGAAAACAGTAAAAGAATATACTTTTGTGTGAAATGAATGTAACGGTTTCAGGCACTTAACTGCATGCTATTTACAATTGAAGGAAAATGTATTGGTTTAAATTTATGCTAAATGCGATTCGTCGAGTGTTTTTTTAACCCATCAAGTAGGACTTAAAGGGATAGATCACCCAAAAATGATTTCTGTCCCTCCATTGACAGCTACGCAACAGACACTTCATAAAAAGTTCATAAAGAGACTGTTAAAGGGTTAGTTCACCCAAAAATGAAAATGATGTCATTAATGACTCACCCTCATGTCGTCCCAAGCCCGTAAGACCTCCGTTCATCTTCAGA